CTTATTTATGTAATATTTAAATGTAATTATACATTGAACTTGTTCAACTTTCTTCATTTAATAGAACAATTAAATTAAGAGAAGCTACTGTACACAATAATTAAGAAAATAGAAAGAAAGTTAAGCTTTCTTAAGTTTATTTTAAAGTTGATAAAGTAAATATTTAATGCACAATATTTTGTTAGCAGTGCAACTATAACTAAACATTTATTAAAAACAATTTAATTATGTAAAACGTAATTAATTTTTTAATTTAAAAGTTACTATTAATTTTTTAAATTCATCCTTTTTTAAAATTAGTTATAATTTTTTTTTCATCACCAATTACACAAAGTATGCTTAACTCTTCTAGCTGTTAACTAAACTATTAAATAAATGTTTAAATCTGTAGTAAATAAAATAAAGCTAAAAACAAAATATCGTGCATTAAATAATATGAAACATAGACGTTAATTTTTTTTTACAAACATCAAGTTTTATTTTATTTATATATATAATTATTTAATTTAAATTTAACTAAGTTTTAATTATTTTATTTTAATTAATTTCACAATTAAAGGTTATGTTTTTTTCAATGACTTTCATATTTTCATGTAAATAATTGAAATTAACAATATTGATTAAAATTTTTTATACAAAATTTTATGAAATACAGATTAAAATATTATTAAGAGTAAAGAGCAATTTATTAAATATTGATTTTATTGAAAAAAAAAAAATAAAAACAAATTCCCGATTGATTTACATTAATCAACATTTAAAGTAAAAAAAAAACATATAAAAATATAATATAAAAATATTGGGCTTACACTGCTTATATTAAAAATTTAATAATTTGACTTGAATTATTTATTCAAATTTTTCCAAATTATAAAATAACTGTTAATATAATATAAACAATGTTGAATATCTGAAATTTGGACATTAAAAGTTAACTAAAAAAAGTTATTTTCACTAAAATGCAAAGAATATGTAAAGAAATTAATAAATTTTATAATTAAAAATGTAAATTACTAAAATCATTTAAAGTTGTACTGCATACTTGACTATTTTTAGTTAACAAAACTATATATTATTATATATATAAATATATTTATGTAACAGATATAATAATTAAAACTTATCTATTATATACCTAACTATGCGTCAAAGAAATGATTTTTTTCTATTGAATATAATAGATACTCTGTATGAAATTATCGCTTATAAAAATTATGTTTTAATTTTTGTTTTTAATTTTTATATATGTACGTATGCATTAAAATTTTTATTTTAAACTTAATATAACTAAAAAAATATAAAAAAAAAACAATTTTTAAAATTAGTAATAACTGGTAAAAAGCATAAAATAAAAAATGTCAGTAAATACCGCCTTAGGCATATATGTAATGGTTTTTATTTTATAGTTTAACAATTATGTAAGCAAACAAAAAAAAAAAGAAACTTAAGTATATATAAAAAAATTTTGTTAACCTTTTAATAACTTAAAAAGTTTGTTAAATAAAAAATGTAATAAGAAAAGAAAATGATTTTGTCAAACTAAAAATGATATATATGCTACAAGGATGAATATATGTTTCAAAAATCCAAGTGCATTTTTAAATATTAAAATGTTGTTACAAAATATAAAAATATTTAAAAAAATAAATAAATAAATTAAATAAGAACAAATTAAGTTTAAATTTATATAATTGTTTTGCGCAAATTCAAGTGTTTTTATATATAATATATATAGCGTTTTGATATGCTTGTCATCGTCATTCATTATCATTTTTATTATTAATTAATTTTTAATTAGTTTTTTTCTTTTTTAGTAATCATATAAAAACTAAAAAATTTTAAATAAAATGAATATATGAGAATTTACAGCAAAAATATATAAATATAAATATTTTGCAATATTTTTACGCACTTTTAAAGCTTAAACAATATAGCATATTTAAAAATATTAACGCATAAAAATATGTGCTTTTATTTTACTTAAATAATTTTAAATAAGTTTTCAAATATTTTCTATGGTAAAACTTTTTTAATTTTATATCTAATTTATGTAGCTTGTTTTTTTATTTATTAAATATATTTTAATAGTGTTTCGTTAACACAAAATTTAAATTATTTTGTTGGTTTCCATTTTGTAATTTATTTTTGTTCTTTTTTTATTTAAACAAAAAAATTAAAATTCTTTATAAAAATAATTATCTCAACAAATTACAAATATAACTAAGAGCAAAGCAATATATAATAATTTTGTAACTAAAAACTTGCAATTGTAATAAAGTGGTTTAAAATTTTTTGGCGCCAATATTTTAATATGAAAAAAAAACAAT